CGACCAGTCCAAAGCTCATAAGGTGTTTTAGCAACTGCTTTACTTGGTACTCTATTCAGAATGTAAGCTGCTGTCTTAAGTGCTTCTCCCCAGAGTGACTCTGGTAAAGAAGAATGAGCAATCATACTTCTTACCATATCCTTAAGAGTCCTATTTCGTCTTTCAGCTACACCATTCATGCTAGGTGAACCCGGCATGGTGTACTGTGGGACGATACTGCATTCCTCTAGGTATCTAGCAAATGGTCCTGGACGTTGTTCACCTGAACCATCATATCTACCGTAGTACTCACCACCACGATCAGATCTGACGGTTTTAATTCTTCTGTTGAGTTGATTCTCAACTTCAGCTTTATAGGCTTTGAACATGTCCAGAGACTCAGATTTTTCATGAATAAGATATAGGTGCCCATAACGTGAGTAATCGTCTATGAATGATATAAAATATTGTTGACCATTCCAGGATTCCGTAGGGAATGGCCCACAAATATCCGTATGTATCAATTCTAAGACATCCGAAGATCTGTTGGCACCTAATCTTTTCACTTTGGTCTGTTTTCCCTTGATACATTCAACACATACGTCGAAGTCCGAAAAAATCAAGAGAATCCAAAATGCCATCAGACACAAGACGCTCAATTCTACCTTTTGAAATATGACCTAAGCGCTTATGCCATAATGTCGCCGAATTTTTCTTATTTAATTTATGCTTAGTACCACGTGATTCCACATGCAAGGATTCATTATAAGAAGCAATTGTATCAAGCAAATATAGGTTGTCATAAATACTCAAGTAACCGGTTCCCTCATCATTTGAATTAAAAGATAAACTGAATTGACTGTTTCCAAATGAACAAGAATAACCTGATTTGTCCAATACAGAAACAGAAATCAAATTCCGTCTAAAAGACGGTACTACAAAAGTATCTTTTAAGTCCAAATAAGAACCAGTTCCTAAAATTCCGTCTAAAAGACGGTACTACAAAAGTATCTTTTAAGTCCAAATAAGAACCAGTTCCTAACAACCTAAAGTGCCCAATTGCTTCCCCATCTAACCACCAAGTGTTTCTAGGTACTGAAGCTAAATTAACCTCAGAACAGACCAAAGCAAGGAACATACCCTTATTATCACGCCAGGCGTGATATTTTGTACAGTCCTTCTTTACATGTCCAGGCTTCTTACAGAAGAAACAACCCTGATTATCCTTATGTTGTTTCTTCTCAACTGGACCCTTAGCAGCTTCCTTATCATTCTTCCTTTTCTTGCCCTTATCCTTAAAGGCATAGGCCAAATGAGCACTTTCTGTCTTATCTTGCTTCAACATGTCTTCTTCTTGCACACAGTATGAAATGAGCTCATTTAGAGTTAATTTCTCTTTTTGACAGTTATAACTGACCTTAAATTGATTGAACTGTGCAGGAAGAGACAACAAAACCAGATGCACTAATAACTCGTCACAAAGATCGAGTTTAAGTGCCTTAAGCTTTGAAGTAATATGAGACATTTCCATAATGTACTCCCTGATATTTTCTTTGCCCTTATACTTCATTGAAATCAAGCGAGCTAAAAGCGTGCTTGTTTCTACCTTATCGTTTTTCGCAAAACGCTTCTCAATTTCGGCAAGGAAATCTTTAGCCTTAGTAATCCCTTCGGATTCTATGCCCCTGAAGGCTTCCGGAACGCCGCGCTTAATGATCATAAGACTCATGCGATTTGAACGCTCCCACTTCTCATGCTCCTTCTTTGCATCAGGAGTGCTATCCGCATTGAGAGGTTGGGGTTGTTCAGTTCTTAATGCATAGTCAAGATCCATGCAGCCAAGAACAATTAATATGTTCTCTTTCCAAACCTTGAAGTTTGTCCCATTTAGCATGGGAATTGAGTTGATGTTAGCAGAAATTGTTGCAGCAGATGCATTAGCTGAAATAAAACAAAAGAATGCTCACATCAATAACCATAATCAATAAAATTCAAATAATGACAATCCCCATCCAAGATACCGGCACAACATTAATATCAAGTCTTTGGACAGTAATATTAACTTGTAAGTGATACCTTGTTGCAATGATCAAACATTGACAATAACTCATGTCAAATAATGAAACTATCTTTGGATCGATTCATTATTCACATGTAAACCTTATAATTGTCACACGCTTATCATCGCAGATGTGTATACAGTCTAAATAAATATTAACCTTCCTTTGGGCCGATTAAATATTTACACGAAAGCATACACACAAACATCTCACATTCCTCATGAACAATCTACACAAGAGAGGTTACTTTGGCAACTTCTTGTTTCAATTAATCAATTGGAGTGAGAGACAACCTTAATACCTTAGTGTCATAATATTTGAATTAAATAATTGATTAAAAACCGAATTAGATTTAAATTAAAAAATTTAAATCAACTGAATTTCCAAAAACTTAATTGGGGTCTCACAGCTTAATTAGGGCCCATAACTTAATTGAATAAATTAAGTATACCAAAGTGGACCCATGAAAAGCCGAGGCTTAACCATAATGAACACGAAGTTCCCTTAACTTCGAACGCGAGGTTCGACTGTATTGAGTACGAGACTCACTTAAGCACGAACGCGAGGTTCGTCTGAAAATGAACGAACGCGAGGTTCGTTTGATAAAAGAACGCGAGGTTCAACTTGGGAACGAACGCGAGGTTCGTTTAAAAAATGAACGCGAGGTTCGACTGAAGTACGAACGCGAGGTTCGTCTGAAGTACGAACGCGAGGTTCGTCTGAAGTTCGAACGCGAGGCTCGACTGAAGCACGAACGCGAGGTTCGTCAAAATTGAGCTTGACGCTCACCTGAGTTGAACGCGAGGTTCACCTTAGAACGAACGCGAGGTTCGTTAAAATTGAGCTTGACGCTCACCTGAGTTGAACGCGAGGTTCACCTTAGAACGAACGCGAGGTTCGTTGAGCGCGGCGAGGTTCGTTAAAAATTGAGCTTGACGCTCACCTGAGTTGAACGCGAGGTTCACCTTAGAACGAACGCGAGGTTCGTTAAAATTGAGCTTGACGCTCACCTGAGTTGAACGCGAGGTTCACCTTAAAACGAACGCGAGGTTCGTTGAGCGCGAAGCTCGGTTAAAATTGAACGAACGCGAGGTTCGTTTGAGGTAACCACCTCCTTAATTTTCGCCATGAACCCTTAGGGTTTCAAACTGAAACCGCCGCCGCCAAACCCAAAAAATTCCTCGATTTTTATTTTCAAAACCAGATCCAGAATCGGAAAAAAAAAAATTCTTGATCCAGATCCAAGAAAAATTGAAGAAAAAATCAAAAGAAAATCCAAAAAATTCCAAAAAATTACTGCTCACTGGTGATTTTTCAGTTACTGTTCATCCGAAAAAACTGTACTGTTCATCACTCAAAAGGAAGGCGATTTTTCAGTTACTGTTCATCCGAAAAAACTTTACTGTTCATCCGAACAAAAAACTTCACTGTTCATCCGAAAATTTTCGTTACTGTTCATCCGAACCCAAAAATTGAATCTTTAATCAGAGATTTAAGATCAAAAAATCCAATAAAACTTAAATCCCTAAGAATTAATCAAGGTGGCTCTGATACCACTTGTTAGATCTACATCATAAAACTTGAGATCTAAAACCATATAGCCATGATTAATTCAAAGAGATTAACAAATAATCAAAAGAGCTGAAGCTTATACCTGAATCCATGGATGAAATCTTGATTTGGGTTTTTGATGATCTTCTAACCTTAGGGTTTCTCTAGAACCGAATTTCTCTAGCTAGATGGGGGTGTAGACAATTACAACCTGGCATCTGCACATATAACCCCATGACTTATTTAAATACCAAATTAACCCAACTTAATTGATCACTTTAGTGGGTTATCCTGAAAGATAGCAATACACATTGATTAATCATATGTGCCCACAAATAGATTTATTAGATTAAATCCAACATGTATCACTCAGTTTGTGTGCGCCCAAGTTAAGTGGGAGAAAAACAATGATAATCTCATCTACGTAATGAAGTTTGAAGTTATATTGTTAAGTCACATTTTATTCAAATTATAGTACATTTATGGATGTGACTATGTATAAATAGACATGGTCTACTGCTTATAAATTTACCATTCCTTTGTTGATGTCCACATTCTATTTGTGCACATTTTCATAGGTCATAGGTTCACCCACTGCATAACTCAAACATAGTCATAGTTATGTTCTGTGTCCCTTGAAAATGATGATAAATACTGAAGCATGAACACGAACACATGATACAATGACTTCACAAACCATTGAGAGATTTAACAGTGTGTTAAATATTAGAATATGAAAAACAATGATAAGAATACATGTATGCCCATAGTAATATGGAGTTATGACAAGTAGAAAGAACAAATTGAACTTTTAGTATTTAAACCAGCTCACAATCAAGGTAATTAATTCGAAACAAAAGAAGAAAAAAGATGAAATCTCAATTCAGTACCTCACCTGATTCAAGTCTCTAAAGATTAGACTAACTACGGAAGATGTTTTGATTTTGTTAACAAAACATCCTTCTTATCTCAAAAGTTGGACGTATATGTCTCCTTAAATGACACCATGCAATTCTTGGAATTTCTGCAATGGAAGCACTGGTTTCACAAAATTTATGTTGTGCGGACAATGGACATATTGACAGAGCTCAGACATGACAGAACACAGCCAAGACATAATTTCTGAAAAATACACATTAAATCAAATACAGCAAGAAATGTCATGTCAAAGTCTAACACAAAACCTCATAGAACTGTTCATACTTCCTAGCTCAAAATTCAGCACCACTCAGGAGTGCCAAACAAGTGTCATGTAAGAGGAGTCTAGTACGAGTTGACACGGAGATGCAACTCAATTTAAAGTGAAGGTGCTTCATAGGTATATTCTCAAGGGGAGGGAGGGTCGCATAATCAGCACTTTCTCAATATAATGAAAAGATAACAATAGAAGAACATTTTATTGAGACTTACTCAAGAACATGAGACGCCATTAATAATTCTGGCTCGCCTCCCCAAACATGTGGCTTTCTAATTTGCGAGATGTAGGTATCAAAATCACCCTCAATAAACCTATAAAGAAAAAAAAACTTATATCACAGTTGTAATGCATGATTTTCTACATCCTTTTAACATGCTCATAAATATTTCATACGAGTAAATTTCGACAACCCACCCTCCCCTTGAAAGAAAAACAATTTAGATGGATTCAGCTAATCCCTTCATTCTTTATCCATCATCTCCATCTTTCAACACAATATTTAAACCCCATGAGAACTCTATAGGAAGTTATACCCTCTAATGTCCATGAAGAGAGAAAACATATATTTCAAGGGTTCAACAGAAAAATCAGGGTGTTATTTGCTTCAAAGAAAAACTTCGCCGTTTTGCAGTTTATTCTGTTTGAATCTGTGTCTATGCAGCTAAAATAGTAATATATTATATCCAGTAACATTTAGCTGGTTAGAGCTGTCTATGCTGAACTAAAAACAAATTATGGTTGCCAATAAACTATATAAACTCACCATTCTGTCTCTGAACGCCTCTTAACAAATTCCTCTGCAACCTGAGGCCAAAAGGAAGAAAGTCGTACTGAACGATAAGGTAAACTACTTCATATCTATATCCAAACTGCAGATTATACCAAACGTTGAAGAACATCAAAGGCATACCAGTGCCCTTAATTCATCTGCTAGTTCTCTCTGAAGAGCCTCATCAGGTGATGGCTTCCCAGAACGGATGCATGCTCCATGAGCAACAGAACGAAACAAGCATCTGCCATCTCCCGGTATCCCTTCAAAATGAATAAATACAAAATCATGGATACTGCATTTGATTATATAAACAATCAGACTGAACGAAACTTCAATACAACCAAAATGAAAGGTTGTTGTGTTCACCTGTTATGGAATAGTCACTGTACACTTTCTTTCCATGAGACACGCTGATGGAAGAAGTACTATTATCATCATTCTTGCTGTTATTTCCCATGGGGGATTCTGCATGAGCTTCCCCGAAGCTTAAACATGCTCCAAAAGAAGCACCCCCAGCTGCCCATGAGGCCCGGCGTGCACTCCAGTTAACTCTAGAACCTTTATCAAATGGAGGTATAGAGAGCCTCAAATTCAAGCTTCGGTACTTTGATGATAGGCCAAGACACAATTGTCGTCCCACAGAGCTTACTGAAGCAGTCATATTTAGAGGATGGAGACCTCCTCTTTGGTTGGAAAGGTCAAAGTTAAGATGGCAACCCTTGGATGCTCTGGACCCAAAGGGAAAGGAAGGTGTATCCATATATTTTCGCCGAAAGCGGGTGGAACGAGCGAATAAACTTAAGGAGTTGTATGGCGCAAGCCGAAGCATTACTTACAAATACTCCACCGACAAAGATACTCGTTGAGTATCTACTGAAGAACAGAGTTCACTTTAGGAGATGATTGGACTGCTGCAGGAATACACATCATGAAAATAAATGTCATGTGCCCTGTTAAATATCCTTGTATTGAGAGCAAAACCATGCAACAGGCAAAAGTTTCTTTGTTTCTCTTATGTCTTAATCACTACATGACAGCTCTCCTGCTAAAAGATTCAGATTTCAAATGACCTCGACCTGTTCACTGCAAGGAACACAAATAATGTCCTACAAATCACTACATGATAACTCTCCTGCTAAAAGATTCAGGTTTCGCATGACCTCAACCTGTTCGCTGCAAGGAACACAAATAATGTCCTACAAATCACAATTTTGGCTAGCTATTGACGATATGCTATAGAAGAATACAATCAAACATCATAAACCTATAAGGATCTTAAAATAATATAAATGCGCAAAACTTTTGAATTGGGTGAAGGGAAGGCAGGAGAAGAGGGCCTGAGATCAGTTGCAACTACTCTATAAAAAAAGAAAAAAAAGGAAAAAAAATTTAACTCCATATATTTGAGTTGATGTGTTCAGCCCTGCCATGGACTAATTCCTCACTACAGTGCCAAATCGTAGATGTATAAGTGCAACCAATGTAATTAAAACTAATACAGAACAAGTTGATATAAATGGAAATAATTTCAGCATAGCGCAGGATTAGTGTTTGGTGAAATAAAAGAAGACTAGTGTTTTAGGATGTATACTACAACATGTGAGCATACATGACTATTTGTTTTTGTCTCAAATACTACTTGTAATCTCATAATTCTACAGTATGCCTTCTTTACGAGCGTTGCTCTTGTTTTCTGTGTTTTTCCCCCTGTTTTGTTCATTGCATTGGAAACTAACTGAACTTGAAATTATTGAAAGTAGACTGATTATCATTTTCCTTCCTGCATTTAATTTCGGTCTTAGGACCAATAAGTAAAAGTTATAAGATTGTCATTAATGGAGCAAGGAAGACTAGAGGTAAGACGCAAAGAACTTCATTGGGATTTGGAAGCAATTAAGAAGGATATGATAGTGGGTAACTTAATGAAGTGGCCCTTAAAAGAGCTGAATAGAAGACTAGGATTTACGTAACAACCCTGAAACTCTGGGATGAAGGCTTTGTTGTTGTTTTTTATTTGATTTCAGCCTTAATTTTCCTTTTCCTTCCACCATCCATGGGTTTCTGCCTTCCTTGAATCTTCTTAACTTCACAACCGCACTAACACGTTGGACTATTATATCTTGTTTCTTTCATGTTACCATGTATTTCTTCTTTCTTTACCTGTTCCTTTTCCTGTAGGTCTGGAGTAAATAATACTTCAATCTATTTAAGTAAATGATCCAAAGATGCTTATTGTTTATAGGCCAAAAGTACTATCCTGTTGATGTCCCAACAAGCTGGAGGAGAGGAAAGAGTATTAGAGAATAGTTTTACAGAGGAGCAGTTAAAGATTGAAATGTTTCATTCTCCAGGTTCAGGTATGATACTTGTTGTGGGAGTAAAACTGTGTCTTCAAAGAAAAAATAGTTGGAGAGGGATAACTATGGTAGATGTCACTGATAAAGTTGAATCATTATTCACTTGACATGCAAAGTTCACAATGGCCCCAAGTTATACTTCTTAAGAGCCCATGGTACAGACATTTGGGTTGGGAAGTAGGGAATTAGAGGAGATAAACAGGATCCTAAACATGTACTATTCATAGCTGCACAGTGCACGGTTATATGGGCTAATTGTGAGTGCATTGTTGTAAAATCTAAGCAGCAAGCGAGCCAATATGTGCATCAAAGCCAATACAGTTTGAGTGTCCTTACCCCTACATCAAGACATAACATTGATGCTTGATGGAATCATAAAGCATGCAATTTAGCTAACATAATATGAAACGTGATTTATTCGTCTGGATATGAGGCAAAGTATAAATGAAAAACATAGAGTGTTGCGAGAGATGACCACCAATTTAATGCCTCACGTCTATGAACCCTGATTTCCCCTAAACCAACAATTCTAACACCAATGTATGCTACCAGATCCTTTATATGGGCTAACTAAAGAAAAAGAATTAATAATTAATGGGGTAGGAATCCGAAAAGTTGGGGTTAAAAGGATTTATGTTACATACTTATATTTCTTCCAGTATGCAGATCTATCTCTAGCATTTCCATTGCTCAGTCATGCTACACCACTGCTTTTATCTACCTCAAAACCCACGCTACAAAATTTGCACAAGACATTTCATGGAACAATGGCTTAGCATAACCCTTTACCTAATGTGTTTAAACCAAAAGATTATTGAACAATATACCCCTTATAATTCGATTTAACATATTGTTCCGACCCAAAAATGGAAAAGTTAACGTCTAGCTAACATAATTTATCTTATATCCTATTAGCCATAACGAGTTTCATCAGTCCTGAAGGCTAATGATACCAGATCATTCAGACACCAAGAAAATCAGTTCACGAATTTCTGATTTGTTTCGAGACCTGCAGACGGGTAATATCCAGGCACCCAACAAAATCAATTGCAGATGCAATCTCTAATATTTTGGCCTCAATGTTCATTATATAAATTTATTACTTGATGCCCATTTTAAAAATGAGTATAATACAGATTTTTTCTAAAAGTACAATTTTCATAATGAACTATTCTCTACAAAAGAATTCAAACGCCACAGAATAACAGAAGGACATCCCATCAATTTCAGTCGTTGCAATATATATATTTGCAAAATCAAATAAAGCCACATTTTAATTTTGTTGCCAAATTTACGAACAATCTATTTCATCCCACACGTAAAATAGACGATACCATTAAATTAAAGGAGATAGAATAGCAAATTGAACTCCACCTGAAGAGAAAAAAAAATATCTGCAAAAGCTGTTGACGGCAGTAAAGAACGGCGGAGCAAAAGGGAAGGGAACAAAAGGTTGGCATTAAAATTAGAACATGTTATTTACCTTGAGAATTAAGCGGCAGTTAAATCGATAAAAAAAGAAAGGAATAATGAAAGAAAGAGGAGAAGGATACCGCTGTTTGAGAGATTCCTCTTCGGTTGCTGTGACGAAATCTCCAGCTTCCTGTTCCTGCGATTCGGACAACAGAGGAGATTTCTGCAATGTTTTGGGGGTGTGCTGCGTCGCCGGTGAGAATAGTGTTTCTCTTACCGATTGATTCCTGAATCCTCTCGTCCCCATCTAGACCGTTGATTTTTCTATCTGAACCGTGCCTTCAAAAAAAACCGGGGCAGGTTGGCCCGGGATGCGTTCTGATCATGCCGAGTTACCAACCAAGGATGCGTAATACATGTTACTTTTTTTAAAAGTAAATATAGAGCAAAATAATGCCCTAGTCAAAAGATAATATTATATATAGAACTTAGAACAATATACATGATTACACCAAAAGAAGGATGATGGACAAATAGAATTTGAAGAGGGAGAGGACTATACCCGTCACCTCTTCCGACAAACTAAAGCCCAAAATCCGAAGAATGGGTAGAAAATGCCAAAACCAAGAATACATATGCCGAGAGTTGATACACCACTAGCTTAACAAAAAAACACTCCCAAATGTGCGAAACAAGAAAGTATCAGAATATGCATCCAAAAACGAAGAATCATGTTTTCAATCAACCATTATCTTCATAGCCACTCAAAAGTTCATCGATCCTCTTTCCTTGAATAATTATTTTCAGCTTGGCGGCCTTCTTGTGATGAGAACTATCCATCCAGAATAACAAGAAGAAGGCTACATTAGCAGTCAACTTAGAGGGCACTCATAACTCATCAATAAGAACTTTGTTATTCCTTTCTCTCCATAGACACTAGCACAAGGTAGGCAAGAGGATGATCTAAAGCATACGACATTTCTTATCCACAATAAACAGTCCTTTAGAGGTCATCATTTGGAATAGATCATGCTCAAAAGACTGAAGACCCAACTTAGGCATATAGAATTGCCAAATAGATTGAGAATAATGGCACTGGATAAAAAGATGATCCACAGTCTCAGCAACTTCATGACAAATATGACATAAGGGATCTTCTAACCAACCTTTCTTGATCAAGTTGTCTTTGGTATGCAGTTTGTCCTTAGACAACAACCAAAGAAAGAGCTTAACTTTGAGAGGGATGCATGAACTCCAAATAAAGTTATATAAATCACAAGAAACTCCTCCATAATTTAAGAAGCAATAAAGAGACTTCACTGAAAATATATTGCTCTTGGTAAGGGGCCATGAGTTGAGCATTAGATGGAGAAGGAGCAGCAGATAAGTTATCAAGCAGAACATTAACTTGTTGCTTCTCAATTTGGGAGATTGCTCTCCTAAGAATAGGTTTCCAGGTCAGTATATTACCCCTCAACATGCCTTGAGAAGACATGGAGACGTTGCAAGAGAGAGCAAGCTTATATGTAGCAGGACAAAGATTGTATAGGGAGTAAGAGGCTAACCATTTATCTTCCCAAAACTTGATTCTAGAACTTCCACCTAAATTCCATCTTACCATAATCCTCAAGGCCAGACTAATAGAAATAAAATCATGCTACAATTGAGAGACTGGTCTAGAGATATATTATGTACAAGTGAAAGGAGAATTATGAAGACTATACATAGAAGAAAGGGTATTGCCAATAAGGGATTCTAAGCTTAAAACTTTCCAACCCCACTTAGAAAGAAGAGCAGAATTAAAGTTTGTCAAATTAAGAACCCTAACCACCTCCACCCCCCAAAAAAAAGAAAAAAATCCTCAAGGCCAGACTAACAAAAAAAATCATGCTAAATTTTAGAGACTAATTAAGAGATCTAAAGATAGTGTACAAGTGAAAGGAGAATTATGAAGACCATACGATAGAGAAAGGGTATGGCTAAAAGGGATTCTAAACTCAAAAACGTTTCTAAACCGCACTTAGAAAGAATAAACAAATAAAGTTTGCCAAAATAAGACCGCTAACCCCCCCCCCCCTCCAATCCTTTAAGGATAGACCTAAGCAGAAATAAGATCATGCTAAATTTTAGAGACTGGTCTAGAGATAGGTGTACAAGTGAAAGGAGAATTATGAAGACCATACATAGAATAAAGGATATTGCCAACAAGGGATTCTATTATCAAACTTTCCAACCCCACTTAGAAAGAAGAGTAGAATTAAACTTTCTGACCCCACTTAAAAAGAAAAGCAGAATTAAAGTTTTTTTGACTTGCAAATAGAAGTCCATTTCACCAAGGCTTTGTCTTTACAATCAAAGGAAGATCAACCCCAAAGAAAGTTTCTTCTCAATTAAGGCTTTGTCTTTACAATCAAAGGAAGATCAACCCCAAAGAAAGTTTCTTCTCAATTTATCAATAGATTTGATGACCCAACATGGCAATTTAGGAAGATCAACCCCAAAGAAAGTTTCTTCTCAATTTATCAATAGATTTGATGACCCAACATGGCAATTCAAAAAAAGACATCTAATAAAGAGATAAGGAAGAAAAAACAGAATTAATAAGAATTAGTCTACCTCCTATTGATAAATGTTTACTTTTCCAAAGATAGAGCTTACGAGAGAAAATAATCAAGGAGGGGATGTCATTCTCTCTTGGAAAGAGAGCCAAACTTAAGAGGAAGGCCAAGATATTTGAAAGGAAGCGAGTCAAGAGCGGATTTCATAGAATTGGCAAAAGTGGCACCTCTACCAGGGAACTTACCACAATAGAACACAGAGGTCTTGGCATAATTAATACCAAGACTCGAGATATCCTATAGATAAAAAATCAATTTAAGAGTAGAAATATCTTCAAAAGTTGCCTGACAGAAAACTAATGCATCATCTGTAAATTGGAGAGATTGAATGGAATGAAGAGGACCCTTAAGGTGGAGTTTAGAAATATCGCCAAAATTAACATTGTTTGTAAGCATTTTATTAAGGACATCAGCAACCAGGATGAACAACATTGGTGACAAGGGGTCACCCTGTTTGATGCCATGACAACAAGGGAAAAAATTGGTGTGTGAACTATTAACCAAAATAGAAGATTTAGAGGAAGAAAGGATGTGTTCGATCTAGTTACACAATTTAGGACCAAAATCCCTAGCTTTTAAAAGAGAGAGCAGAAAGGGTATTGCCAATAAGGGATTCTAAACTTAAAACTTTCCAACCCCACTTAGATAGAAGAGCAGAATTAAACATTATCAAATTAAGAACCCCTACCCCCCCCCCAACCCTCAAGTGATACGAGTCGCCGTGCTAGCACCATTTGGTCGCGGAATTACCAAAAGGTGGGTTGAGAAGAAGACAACTAAAACACAAGAACAATTCAGTATGGCGAAGGAAAATACCTTCTCTAGATTATGAAGAATCAATTATTACAAATCTCTTCCTCACAATCTCACTAGAATCGAGAACAACCTCTCAATCCTCTCTAAACCCTAATATAAAGATTAGAATTTCTCTCTGATCTAAGATCTCTAAGATGATGTTTAGAAACCCTAAACAACCATTTATATAGGTGTACAAACGTGGATGGTAATCTGGTAAATAATCAAGCCCAAAACTAACAGGAATTCATGTGAACAGAAACCAAAATGAACCAAGAAACTATCGATGAGTCGACTCAAAACTGCATATGAGTCGACTCATGACTGATGAGTCGACTCATAAACTGATGAGTCGACTGAGCAGAAACTTTTGACAAAACGGCTGGGTTTCGTGAGTCGACTCATGACAGGCATAAGTCGACTCAACCTGATGAGTCAACTTATGTTCATGTATGAGTCGACTCACGAGCTGAAAACTGGATTCTTCAAATCTGCTGCTCACCGTCTCGTTCCACACTTCCACCTACATTCCACTGTACTGTTTTACACCTCTATTCTCATGCTATCATGAGAATCATCTATCCTCAAGCTCCCATGAGGATCGCTAAGCTCCCGAAGAGAAGATACACTCGTATCATGGGTCCCCTCTTTAGGAACTTGAAGTCATGTTCAAGTTAGAACTTTTGCTGAGGAAACTCTTGAGCTCCTCCATCTTTTCTGCACCACCTGGCCTTGCTAGGAATCCGGTCTCGACGTCCAATCGGAAACAACTCATTCGTCCCGTGTCTCGTCATAGTGACCTTTCGCCCCAAGTTGCAATCCTTTATCGATGGCTTTTCTGGAAGTCTAATGCACAGCGAGACAAACTTCTTACTTGCATTCACTAGTCTCTTCGCTCGCATCACCGTCCCCAAGCTTGTCTCCTTCGGAAGAGATGCCGAACGACTCGTAGATCGTATATCTATCCTATAAGTACGGATTGCCCAGTATAATCTGACAAACATCCAATGGAACAACGTCGCACGTGACCTCGTCAATATACGACTCGTGGAGCGCAAATCTGATAGTGCATTGATCAACTACACTCAGTTTCTCCTCCTCCTGAATCCACCCTAATGGATAAGGCTTCGGATGCTTGACCGTCTTCAGACCTAGCTTCTGAACCAATGCCTCGAATATCAAATTTTTCTCGCTGTCCGAATCAATAATGGCTTCAACCAAACTGGTCTTCACTTGCAACTTAAGAACAAAGAGTTTCTCTCTCGGGTCATCGTCCTCTTTCGTGGTCTGCTTTCCCGTCATAAGGTTGAGACTGTTATTGGGCTCTGTCATCCCTGGGACTTCTTTCGGACCTTGAGCTATCATGTATGCCTTTTTCTCCTCCTCCTTCTTCAACCCTCTTGGCTTGATATGATGATACTTCTCCTAGCACCGATCAGCTGTGTGCCATGTCTTCTCGCAGTGACTACAAATCAGCCCTGCTTTCCCTGAATCACCCTTCTTCTTCTCTTCCTTAGATTGAGAACCACTAGACTCGCCTCCTGTCTGTTTGGAGTCTCCCTTAGCCTCGTTGCTCTTCATTTGTTTGCCCTCGAGGGCAATAGCCTTCATGCTCGCCTCTGCAATTGATTCAACCGTGAATGGTTTCATCTCCTTTCGGATGTAATCGCTCAATCCCGCCATATACTTCATAAACACGGAATATCCCTCTGTCGCAATGTTGAGAACCATCGCCTACTGCTAGAACTTCGTGGTGTATTCTTGAACGGTTTGATTGACCCTTTGACGTAAGCCGTACCACTTGTACTAACGCTCTTCAAGGAATCCC